AGGAACAGTATTAAAGGGTCGCGACATTAGGAAGGTTGAGAACCACTGTCTTAGACTGTTCAGGTACTTTTTTTTAAAAAATATATTTTACTGATTTTTTTACAGAGAGGAAGGGAGAGAGATAGAGAGTTAGAAACATCGATGACAGAGAAACATCAATCAGCCGCCTCCTGCACACCCCCCACTGGGGATGTGCCCACAACCAAGGTACCTGCCCTTGACCGGAATCGAACCTGGGACCCTTCAGTCCGCAGGCTGACGCTCTATCCACCGAGCCAAACCAGCTAGGGCAGGTACTTTTTGATAGAGTGTTCCAAAGCTGTGAAGTAGACCAGCCATATCCCCAGTGTATATGGAGCCTCGTTGGAAAGAATTTGCCCCGGATAGTCTGAGATCCAGACATACACAGGCTGGCCTTCTTAAAGAGAGCCTGAGCTTCCTGGATGGGGCTGGACTGGAGAGCCAGTACGGTTCCTGAGATAGCATTGCCAAGAGAAAAAACAGTAGCCTGAACATCAGGTTTTTCAATCCAGATGGAGCAGGGGTTGTAGGAACAGCGTGACACTGTGCTTGGCCTACTCTTTATCCAGCCTCCCCCAAGGAACACGTGTGCTCCAGGAGCAGGCGGGCTGTGTATGAAGGAGGGGAAGTAGGTAAGATGACGAACTATTTGCTCAGGATTATCCCAGAAGACAATGGCAGTTTGAGAAATGAAAGTCCTTCATCCTGAACTCTAGCAAACTGGAATGGTTGGCCACCATACAAGAAAGTCACTAGGTGCCAAGAGTTATGTTGTGGAGCTCCCTCCTAAAGAGTTGACCAGCAGAAATAACCAGTTTCTCCAATGGTGGCCAGAGAATGTTAGCAACACGGTGGAATTTACTGCTGGCAGAACTGCAAATCAGCAAGGACACACACACACACACACACACACACACACACACACACACACACACGTGTCAGCCTGCGGACTAAAGGGTCATGGGTTAGAGTCCAGTCAAGGGCACATACCTTGATTGTGAGCTTGATCGCCAGTACGGGGTGTACAGGAGGCAGTCAAATTGATTATTCTCTCTCACATTGATGTTTCTATCTCTCCCTCCCTCTCCCTTCCTCTCTCTGAAATCCATAAAAATATATAAAAAAGAAAAAAATGATAAAAAATATACAAATTAATGTTCTTCCTTAAAAAAAAAAAAAGAACCAGCTACAGAGACAACATATATTACCTAAAGGGAAGTACAAATTAGATGGACTTCACTAGAGCTAATATGGAATCCAGAAGATAATGGCATAAAATCTTCAAAGAGTTGAGAGAAAATATTTGCAACCTAGCACTGCCTTCCCAGAGAAATTATCTTTCAAGTACATAGGTGAAGTAAATATATTTTGAGATTTAAAAATGGAGACAATTGGTCACCCAAAGACTTTTACTAATGAGACTTCTAAATTTATACTGTCTTTTTAAAAAAATATATTTTATTGATTTTTTACATAGAGGAAGGGAGAGGGATAGTTAGAAACATCGATGAGAGAGAAACATTGATCAGCTGCCTCCTGCACACCCTCTACTGGGGATGTGCCCACAACCAAGGTATATGCCCTTGACCGGAATCGAACTTGGGACCCTTTAGTCCACAGGCCAACGCTCTATCCACTGAGCCAAACCAGTTAGGGCAAGAATGTTGTCCTTTTTAAGAAAAAATTCTCAAAATACCAGATTTCATTCCAAAAATAAAGAGAATGAAACCACACATGAAGTGTAGATTGTAGCTCAGAGCTTCTTTTTTCCCCCCTAATTCTGTAAGATGGCTCCCAAAGGTTATGTGAGATTAATGCTACGGAAATGACTATATGAAATCTGCAACAAACACCAGGGAAAGTGTAGAGACGGGGGCAGTGGACCAAAGAATGAGCCGGAAGGCATCACCGTTCCTCTAGACCAGTGGTTCTCAACTTTTCTAATACAGTTCCCTTTAATACAGTTCCTCATGTTGTGATGACCCCCAACCATAAAATTATTTTCGTTGCTACTTCATAGCTGTAATTTTACTACTGTTATGAATTGTACTGTAAACATCTGATATGCAGGATGTATTTTCATTGTTACAAATTGAACATAATGAAAGCATGATGATTAATCACAAAAACAATATGTAATTATATATGTACTAGAGGCCCGGTGCACAAAAATTTGTGCACTCAG